AACTGCTGTTATCGTTTGATATCTAGGTCTTCATGCATGCAGTCACTTACCGGTGGTTAGTGCTTTGATCAAATTGATTTTTCCACTGTGATTACAGAGGTGGTAAAAAAAAAAAAAAAAGAAAAAAAAAGGAAACCAAAGAAGTAACAGGAGGCACATTACTGATTGTTTCCTCACAGGAGCAGCAAGTTGGCAACTGCTGTTGATTAACTCTGTGCTGCACAGAGAATGCAAGCATGTCCTTACATCCCATTCCTGATGGATGGTGGGTTTGTTTCCATAAATATAATCTAGCCCACACTAAGACAGGCACCTGATATCACTGTGGGGCAGGTATGTTGAAGAACCATACAGCACAGCTAAATCTACTGAAATAATACTACAGGGCAACAGGCTGGATAGTGAAGAACAGTAGATGACTAGCCCAGATATCCAGGTGTAAGTCTCCTGCCAGATGGCACTGGTAGCACAAAGGGACAGATTCAGTTACGTTGGCATTCTGGCATTGATTTGAACTTCAAGCTGGAAAACCAGAAACTTGGTTATGGCTCTTGGCCTTGGCAAGGAAACTTCTCCACCTGCAGCAAGCCCAAGACTTTTTGCCAGGTCCCTCTGTATCTTCCTTACCCAGTGCAAAGCTAGGCCTGATAGCTCACGTGCCAGATGTAGTACAGCCCCCAAGGAATCCATTTATCTTGCTCCAAGTTAGATTGGTTTTGATGCCTTCCCAGGCCTTATTCATCTCTTCATGGTATTGTCCCTGATAATTGCAGGGGGACTTCGATTAGGTGACTTTTAAAGGTCCCTTCCAAGCCAAACTATCCTATGATTCTATGATTGTGTTGTGCAGCACAGACATGTGCTGCAGGGGAAAAAGCATGGGTGTCTGTAAGGACACACTTGAGAAAGCTGGCAACTGATAGCTACCCCTGCTCCCTCCTCCCCAGGATGTTTTGGTTGCCTCCACTGTTGAGATTTGGGAAAGTGTGCTAATATTAACCACTTTCTCCTTCACTGCAGTTTCCTCACACTTTGTTGACCGGGACTGGCAGACATCTAAATTTGCACTCGTCCATCACTCATCCCCAGTGGGCTCTCACTACCCTGAAGCTTTAGCACTTATCTCAGGACTCACCACCTAGACGCTAGCAGGGACCCCCTCACCAGGATGTGCAGTAGCTCCCCATGGCTGCTCTCTGTGGCCTCACTCAAAGCAGTCTTGAGTCTTCCTGCTTCCTCCTACAAAGAGGGACAGGGAGGAACCGATCTTAACATGCCTCAGCATAGTCCCTCCCTTCAGAGAGGTCCGTCTGATGGGTATGTTTCTTTCTCTCACTCTCAAAGCATTCTTTCTCTCCACATTCAACTGACCTCACCAGTCTGTCTTTGGACTTCGGATCACACCTCAGCTGGGACTATTTGGGCCAGCAGTCTTGCTCTTTCATTACTTCACAGGCACAATATTCCTTTTCCTATTTCAAAACTCAATTTCTCCCAAAGTACGTCTGACCATTACTAGCTGAAATGCTGAAATGACACCTGGCCCTGCCAGATATTTCTTTCTACCTGCTAGCAGTCATCAAGGCAGAGATGCTGCTGCTCTGCACCTTTTGTCTGTTTGTCTCAAGAGTATCTGCTCCCTGCTCAGTCCCGAGTGCCAGGACTAAGTGCCCTAACTCTCAAGGCACAAATGACAAGAACCATTTAGCAGGCTACCGTTTCATATGAAATACACAAAACCAGAATCCAAAACTATAATCAGTTTCTCAGAGCAATGTTGGTTACATGAAGTTTGTGCAATCTGTTCCTTGAATTCTCAACATTAGTGTAAAGTGAAGGCACAAGGGTCAACACGCCCACTGCTAACCACCGTGTTTCATTTAACATCACAGCACCGACTCTTCAGCCCCTTCTGAATCAGGGAAGGCCTCAGTCTAGTGAGGCATTTAGACCTCTGCCTAATTCTAAATGTGTGAATAGTCCCAAAGGTGTCTTTCAGTCGGGTTTCAAGAGGCAGTTGAGCCGACTATTAGCTGCCACAGGCAGTGGTCCCCTACCTTCTGCTGGGCTCTGGCATCTTCCTTTCTCTCCAGCTGGCTGGTTTAACTTGCCAAAACAACAGAAGACTGTTCATTCTCTTTCTTTGTTGTTTTATTGTTTTGGGTTTTTTGGTTTTTTTTTTTCAGGCAAGGAATTTCCCCTTTGTTTTGCAAACAGAACCAATTCCTTCAGGGGTCAGGCGAATGCCAATGAGAAGAGCCCAGATCTTGATCCTAAATAGAGTTTGGTCTAGCTTGCCTCCAGTCCCTCTGCTTGTGGAAAAAGGGTTTTCCTTGGTGAGAATTGTCATTCCCACCCGCAACCAAGAGGGAAGGTCTCACCCACACAAGTGAGGTTTGTTCACACTAACCCACAGTGATGCATGAAGTCTGGAAAGGATCCTCTAAGCCTCACCCTGACCTGGTTCAGGAGGGACAATAATGTCTTCCTGGCAGGACTCGATGTGTTGTCTGTGCTGGTCATGCCCGGTTCGCCCTGCTGCAGCTGGCACGCAGAGCAGCCCATCCTTCAGGACCCTCCTTCTGCCTGTCCAGAAGAAATATGTTTCTGCTACATTGACGTCAAGACTGGCATTACTGCCAAGCCAGGTCTCTGAGGATATCTTCATCACCTAGATCCACAACAGGGTGTGTTCCTCACGTCCATGTTCACACAGCAAACTACTGTCAGCCTGGGTGTGTGCAGGGGTTGTTTTCCTTTTTCCATTTTGACGGGTACAGGTGTTACATGACGCAAGCTTTACCTACTGCCTTCTGTGAAGATGAGGGAAAACCTGCTTCCCTGTCATCACCACTCCCAGCACAAGCGGGAAGGGGACTTTTAGGTCTCAGTCTATGTGGCTGAAAAGGAGAAGGATGTCATGCCACTCCCCACAGCAAATGCACGCAGCAGGACTAGAGGGTTTTGTTCCCCTTCGGATGCTGCCAGACTTGTCCAACCAGCCTGATCCACACCACCTCTAGCATAGGCTGTCTTGTACCTTTTTCAAAGAATCCTTGCTGTTAATATTTCAGTGGTGCTAAAACAGGCAAGCATCTTCCACTAATACAGGATTTTTGCTGCAATTTTCCCAGTAATTTTATGTAATAAGTACCATGCCTCAGCTGTGCTGGAGAAAGGGATGGACTCCTACCAGCTGAGCTCAGCCAGAAGGTTCCTGGAAGTCCTGAAGTGATAATGTGGGGCTGCTTGAAAAATTTAATCAAACAACTACAACAAAAGAGCTTGAACTGTGATGCCTCACTTAATGGTATTACTGAAGAGTAACTATGAAAGGAGCTACACCACAGTCACTAGATTTGTGTCCTGTGTTACTGAGGCACTCCTGCCTGAAAACCATGAGGTACACCTCAGAATTCAGAAGTTCCCCTGGCTCTACAGAAGTGGAACCTATGTCAGTATTAATGACTCAAAAAACAAATTCTTGGTACGGTATGGTATTGTGATAGCAATTTATCTCCTTGTGGGTTCCTCATTATCTCAACCAGCTGCAAAGTTTCAATACTCAGGTAGACGTTTCTCAGTGCAAAACAGTGGCAGGTAAGGGAAAGGCTGAACTTCAGAATCTACCCCTCTGCTCAGATGTGACACCCTGCCCGAAAAGGGTGAGGGGGAGGCCATGCCACTGGTTGGAGAGAAGCCCTCAAGCATGTAATGTAGATCCTGCCTGGTTAAGCGAAATGGAGGGTAAGTGTGAGGCCATTCCAGCCTGCGACAAAAGGTGCGTGGGAAAAGCCAGTATTTTTGCAGTTCTCCCTGAAGGCTTTCTTATGACTTTGAAGTAACTTTTGTTTACGCTAATTTTCCTTTTCCATCACAGCTGAGTGCAAAAAGACTGTAAAAGGCAAGACAGAACGTTAGACTGAAAGATTTTAGAAGTAACAGGACATTTGTGGTTAAAAGTTATTTTGAGCTCCTAATGTAGAAGTTGCCCCCTCACTGAGGGCAGCACAAGGTTTTACTCTTAAAAGCTCCCCTCTGATCATATGTTAAACAAAAATCTGCTATTTGAATAAAGAAGAAAGAAGCTTTGAGAAAGTTCAATTTGCTATGAGCCATGTACTAAGGGTGCTTTGTTTTGGAGGGGGCTTCAGATGATTTTTGAAGAAGTTGAAATCTCATTATTCTAATCATTGGAGAAGACTAGAATCAGAGTTCTTTCTTTTAATAGTCCTAAATGCAGAGATTGCTCACTGCCTCCAACTTTATCTTGTTATATCTGATCTGTATCATCCTACATTAAAGGTCTTTCATCTTCTCTCTTTCTACTCTCCTGCAAGGCCCAGAGTGGTTTTCGGTCTGTGTTAGAGTACTTTAGCAACCAACTCACCGTGAGGGTTTGAGGCTCTTGTAAGACAGCAGCTTCTTCCTGAGACAGTTGCCAGCCTGCTCACTCAAGGTGGATCTCTTCCATCTCTGTCCCAGTCAAATGCTTTGAACTTCAGACTAGGATCTGAAACACTGCCCCCGCATGAGGACTTCAAAACTCGTCTCTGGGGTGCCCAATTCTGCCTAGCAACCCCTCCTGAATGTTTAACCTCTCAACCTGTCTGGTTCCTGCATCTCCTCCCACCCCACAACAGCTTTAATGGACCACCAAAAGTGCAGGCCTCCACTGTTGAACTCTTCAGGAACTACATAGTGTTCCTACGGGGAAACCAAATCTTCTGCTTGAGTTGAAAGCAATTCAAGGGTTTTCTTCCAGGACCCTGAAAAGACCAGTAGATATATTAGTCAGGCCTCCCACTCACATACGCAAGTGTGTTGAACTGTCTTTACTCCCATCAAGAGCCTGTTGTCTCTCTCTCTCCCCTCTCCAAATTGCTCTAAAGGCTAGGATCATCACCAGGGTGGGTTTCATTTCCTTCTGAGCAATTGTGTTGCTGTCTCCTCAGTCCTGTCCCAGACTGAAATAGTGGGCCAGCTGCAAACCATCTCACTTTCAGCAGAGAGTCGTCGAGCTGTGATGACAGGACATTGTCCTGGGTCGGAGAGGAAGAGGGTGACTGGACCAGCACCAGAGGAAATCCACACGGCCACCAGTGGTGCTCGGGGATGTAACGAACCTCACAGTGGGACAAACTGCCAGCTTGCAGCAGGTCCATCCACCCACATTTTACATTGAGGACTTGGCACACAGAATCATTAAGCAGCTTAGCCAGAGTCACCCATGAAGCCTGTGTCAGACTTGTGAACATACCTTGGGAGATGCAGGTCAGTGCCATAAGGGCGAGATGGCCCTTCTTTGGACCATGTGTGGACAAAAATAATCTCTGCTAGTGCTGGGAGCAGAGGTGGCTGGTGGGAGCACAGCTGCGTCAGTCAGGTTTGCGGTGTCATCCTGCAGAAACAAGGTGCAACTGGGAGCTGAGGAGGAGATGGGATGAGCAGGGGCAATGCAGGGACAACAACAGAGGGAGGGGGATCCAATAGAAGACACGGAGAAATAAAGGCAACAAAGGAGGTGAGAAAAGTCAGAATGGAAACCGAAGAGGAAACAGACCATATACAAAGGGAAGAAGCTTGAAACAATCAGTCAAGGGACTTTTTAAGCCACCATCTTGTGGCTACCTGCACTGTGCTTAGCGTGGCTGAGTTCCCAGTTTGACAGGCCTCAGGACTAATGAATGCAGAGGGCAATTCTGAGAACAGTGTTCTTTACCTTTTCACAACGCGTCAAACTAATGGGAAGGAAGAATAATCCAACCTGTTACTAACACCACTGTACAAATCTGAGAGCGCTGAAAGCTCTGCACCGCACAGCCCGAGTGTGCCTCGCCGTGCTCCACCAGGACTTCAGCACTGGTCCCACACTGCCTCACCACTGACCGTTCAGCTCCAAATACACAGCTGAGGATCCTCCACTGTCCTTCACCCCTCCTTTCTGTGCCTCACTGAGATTAGGTACAAATTTGTGCTTGTGTTGTTTTACCTAACGGATGGTGGGGACCGTCCTCTCAGCACCTCGTGCTGGTGGGCAATACCTTGAGTGGCAAAACTTATGGTTTCCCCAAAGCCCTGGCAAATTCTCCACCACGTGAGATTTTTCTGCACTGCCACAGCTTCGAGCTGGAGCATTAAATTCTATGAAGTATCATTATATATTGAAATAATGACCACAGTTCATGAATGATCATTCCAAATAACTGCATGCCCCAGGCTGGCAGCAAATAACAGACTACTGTGGTTTTAGACCAAACCCTCAGGCTGAGAACAAGAGCCAGGGGAGGAAAGGGCAGCTGTACCCAAGACATCAGCCTGTCTTGAGCTGTGTGTTCAGCTCATCACAGCTCAGCTTCTAGGCTCCTGTACTCTTGGAAGCAAGGGAGGAGAAAATAAGCTCGCACTGATTAGGTTTGCCGTACCTGAATGATCACCTTTATGTTCCTACCTGTTGAAAGTTTCTTTCAATTCACTTCCCCAACCCCTTGAGGCAGAGCAGAGAGGATCAAGTAGCAATAAAACTATTCATTAGCAGAATTTGGCTCTACTGTGCATAAAGAAAGGAGCTGACCTGAGCAAAAGCACAGTAGTAACAAGAAAATGTCTAGATGCTATTTATTGCAAAAGGCCACGCAACTGGACTGTCTTCAGCTTGCTTCCTTGGTGGTCAGTAAGAACATTATTATACAACAGCATGAGTCAGGATGCATCCTTTTTTTTTTTTAAATTCAAAGACCACAGGAGCAAACCACATTGGGAGATGAGCAAACAGAAAAGGCTGTTCTGCAAGATTTCCTGTTCCGTGATGCATGGGTAATTGGCCTATATTTGTGACCCCATTTTTCTTTCGGGGTTTGTAGCTGCACTGCAGAGATTCGATCCTTCGGTACAAAGCCTGCACTGGGACAGAGTGGGTCAATGCTGGGTACGGGGCAAGTCTTGAATGAGGAGCACGGCTCTGTAACTTGCACGCTTTCTAACTTCCACATGGCCCTAAGCCTGAACCGAACCTAAAAGCTACTCTGCAGCAAAGGGACAAAGGAAGACACAGAAAGAGACGAACAGCCTCCTCTCTCAGGCACCTCTTTCCGAATTGCACCCAAACCTGAGCCGCTCGGTAGAGCCAAAGCCCGAGGTGGGGTGGGGCTGGCTGTTGCTGGCTGTGGTGGTGAGCGTGCCGTGGCGCAGCAAGAAGACCTCTGCGCTTCTGCTCCCACCAGCAATGAGGGAGAGGGGAGTAAGCGACATTTATGGAGCTGCCCCTAAAATACATGAGTTTCACAGGCAGAACGGCTCTTTACGTGGTTTGCACTGCAAATAAGCCGTGCCTGCTTTCTGCACTGCTAGAGCTGTTGGGTTACAAGGTATTGCTGTGACACAACAAACAGTGGGCCAGAGCTATGAGATCATATCGTCCATATGAGCTGCTACAGGCATGCAACTCTTCAACTTTTCCCAACAAACATATTTTCTACCACATCCCCTACAAGAGCAGGCACAGCCAAAAGCAGAAGTCCACTGTCTAAATCTTTTTTTCCAAACAGGATTCTGCCTTTCTGCTTCAAAACCAGAGCGCTCCTCACAGTTAATCTCCAATGTGCTGCTGTTATTTCCTCACACTTTTTAATTTTTTAGCTCAGATTAATCCCCACCTCTGCTGCTCCCTGCTCTAAATTGCCCAAGTCGGTCTCTGCTTCACTGTCAAGACCATGGCCACACGCCCCAGGGAAGGGCGCACAGCTTCAGCCGTCCCTTCGGCAACGCTGAGGGAGTTTACCGCACCAAGCCGTGGCCCTCGTGCTGGCTGCAGGCACTCTTACTGGTTCAATCAGTTTTACACAACTTGCCCTCTGCTACCACCCGTTGCCCCACTGTCCTTTGGGTTAGTCTCAATTCATGGTATTCATATAATTTCTTTTTCTTCATATAAACTGGATTAGCTTGGGTTCTTCCAAAGTGGTGCTTGGCACTCATTTCTGCCCATATGTTTAGTACTTTTCTGGACTCCTTTGCGTCTTTCCACAGTTTATTCTAATCCATTTTGATTTTTAATGCAAAAGGAGCATGCATGCAAGGAATCAGTGCAGAAGAGCTACTGTGCATTAACATCGCACTAGTATATCCTACCGTCGCTTCTCAGGTTAGATGAGACCTATGGTCCCAAAACACTCATTTTTTTGGCTGGTACTTTCAACTCCTTCAAATTAAGTACCATCAAATAAGCACACACTTATTGAAACCAGAAACTAGTGCAAGAGAAGGTATTCAGGAATATTAATTTCTCTTTCATGGAAGAAGTCTGTGAGAATTTCTCTTATTTCTCTCCCAGAACATCAGATTTCTAATGTCAGCACCTTCTCACACCTGTAATCACACCTTAAAGGGATCTGCAGTGCAAATTCAAAACTATGAGAAAGTCTGTTTAACAGTTTTTGTTGGTGTGCCTAATTTAAAATTTCACTTAGGGCTTAATTAACTTAGTCTACCGACTGAATGTAACTGAGGAACACCAGTTTTGCAGTGCTACAGCTAACAATAGCTGGGTTGTGTGTATCATTTTTTATGGCAGAATCTGTTATTTAAATCTACTATTTATTCCCTAAAGAATTATTTTAAGTTTCATATTTCTCCCATTAACGTGTGTTAAACTATGAAGTTTAAGTGTATGGAATCCTAATCTCCAGGATTGCTTTAATCTCTGAAAACTAGAACCAGTATTTTGTTATTCGCTCTTAGATCGCTTGAAATTTTTCAAACTACTTGTCTTTCAATTTTACCAGTTTCCTTTTAACAGAAACAACACAGCCCTCCTACTTTGCAGTTCAAAGGAGATGAAGAAAACATCAGTCAACATGTCAGCCACTCATTTGAGCCATTAACACTATAAAGTTGCCTTTTCTTAAATATGTCGCCAGAATAATTTTGTAAAACTCAGCCTCTGTAAAACATTCCCTAGGTAGGCAAATATCACATTGATTTCAAGGAAATGTATGCTTCAAGATTTTGCCTAAGTTCATCCCTAATTCATCCACAAGCCAGAATAATTTAGACTCTTTTATGCATCTTTATTCATGTTGAGAAAAGGTTGGAAGCAGCGCTCAGAGAGGAGACAGCGCTGGTCAGTGGTAGATACAGCTGGACAAGCTGCTGAGCAGCAGCCTGTTTGCACACAACCGGCCCCTCTTCCTTCTGTTTGCCCACAGCTGTTCCTCCAAACCACCATTATCCTTCCTTTTTCCCCCTTTTGGTCCTGGCTCTAAATATCCCATAACACTACAGGAAGGACATTGAGGTGCTGGAGTGCATCCAGAGAAGGGCAACGAAGCTGGTGAGGGGGCTGGAGCACAAGTCTTATGAGGAGTGGCTGAGGGAACTGGGGTTGTTTAGTCTGGAGAAAAAGAGGCTGAGGGGAGACCTTATCGGTCTCTGCAACTACCTGAAAGGGGGTTGTATCAAGGTGGGTGTCGGTCTCCTCCCAAATAACAAGAGGTAAGACGGGAGGAAATGGCCTCAAGTTGCACCAGGGGAGGTTTAGATTGGATATTAAGAAAAATTTCTTCACTGAAAGGGTTTGTCAAGCATTGGAACAGGCTGCCCAGGGAGGTGGTGGAGTCACCATCACTGGAAGTGTTCAAAAAATGTGTGGATGTGGCGCTTCAGGACATGGTTTAGCGGTCATGGTGGTGTTGGGTTGACGATTGGACTTGATGATCTTAAAGGGCTTTTCCAACCATAATGATTCTGTGATTCTGTGATAACAGGACCTATGCACACCCAAATGGTCATCCCCAGCATCCCCTGCAGAGCCCATGCCCCTGTAGGACCCTCAGCCCATGAAGTGACCTGGGGACTTCCCCAGGGGACCATGGACTCCTGGGACAGCCCAGGGAAGAGATGGGGCAGGGGGCTTTGGGGGCTTCGGGTCTGTATCAGGCCCCCCCTGCCCTTGCTCCTCTCTGCTCATAAGAATCAAGCCTTAATCCCATAACCTAACATTCACCTACACAAAAGCAGGCGGACTGCACCATCCCCGCTCCTCACACAGCGCTTCCCAGCCATGTTTCACCTCCTGGGTGGGCTGTGCTCCCCACGCAGGAGGCTCGGTGCCACTGCAGGTTACCTTCTGAGGGGCCTGTCGGTCTGCGGGGCTGCGGTGTGCCGA